TTTTTTTTGTAATTTCAGTTCGTAATTTTTGTTTGAAATTGGGTTTTGTGGTGGAAAAACCAAGTCTTTTCTTTGAGGAGGAGATGTGAGTGTTTCTGTTATAATCTTTTATTTCCCTTTGTTCTATGATGGTACCGGACGGGATTTCTTTCATAGATTTTTCAAATCTGAAAATGGGTGGCTTTGGAATGTGAATCTTAGCTCTTTTGCAAAATGGGTTTTCCTCGTTAAGATGAGATTGAGAGATTGCGGCGCGGAAACAATGGAGATCTAACATGCCTATTAGTATTTGGGGAAAACAGAAAACAGTTGAGTGACAAGAAGGAGATTTTGGTTATGGTTACGCCCGAGCTTTCGGTTGTCTCGCCCGAGCTTGCGGTCGTTGACCATAAGAATGGAAAGAGCTTCAAGCGTGTTTGTCATTTTTTGTTTGAACTTGAAGTTGGGTGGTTTTTGAAATTATTATCCGAAGTTTAATTTATGAAATAGAAATTAGTATATGAAATTCGTTTTATTGTGGAATTTGCTGATATTTGATTGATGTTTTTGGAATTTGTTCAATTATTGAAATTGCTATTGTGATTTTTGGTTGATATTGGTGAAAATTTCTATTTTGATTAGTTTGTGTATTCAGCTATTTGGGATTTTTTTTGTTGATTATTTTACTATTTTTGGAATGTTGATATTGTTGTGATTAGATTTATTTGCTGTAAATCGGCCACACTAGGTAGGAGACATAGTCAAGTGAGGATTCTTCCTCTAAACCACCTAAAAACGTACTACCGTCAACTCTTAAAAGGAGACCTGAGTTCATCTTGGTAATGTGTCTAATATCGTCTAGTTTTAGATACTAGTTATGAATTATGATATGTTGTTACTATCTTGTTAGAACTTTAGAGATGTTCTTATACCCTCGTAATAGTAGATAGGAGATATTCTTCGCGTTAGGTATCTGACCACATAGTCATCTAACGTTTTTTTTTCTTGTAAGTAGGAGAGCGATGGCTACTGAAGATGATTCAATTGACCAAGCTGTTGCAGCACGTCGTGAGAGGCTGAAAGCTCTAAAAGCTGCACAAGAACTGTTGAACACCCCGGATGAGGATTCTGTGCAAGTTGAGGATAAGAAAAATAATGACAATGATTCTAGGGAAGAAACGTGAGTATACCCTTCTCTTCTTGTGTTTCCATTTCTTCATAACCTATTTGCATGCTTTTTTTTTTTAAATCCGTGAATATACCCATAGTGTCATGCTTGTCCCACTTTTCTTCATTCTTGTGAAGCTGAAAAAAGGCCTATATTATTAGTAAGCTAGCACGCTCCCTTCTTTCTCAAAGTCAAGTTTCTTGATGATTGGTGGTGCCCCTCTTGATGATTGTTGACTCAACATTGATTTAATAGCCTCTAAGAAAAGGGAACGGGAAAGAAAAAGTAAAGGAAACAAAAATGAATTTTTTTGTGCGTATATGAACACAGCACCAGAAGGGACTTGTTTAGAACTTATTATATAAAGGAACAGATCTGTTTTGTAACCTTTATTTTTTAAGTTACTAGCTTCTATGTTATAGGACTTGTAATTACAAAGATTGAAGCATGAGGACAAAAATGTTCTGTAAAACTAAAATGCTAGGATTCCTTCTCTTGGCAGGGAAAACGAAAGTGTTACTAATTATTTCATGCAATTGGCATACTTGGATTTTTATTGGGTGTTATCTTTTACAAAATAGTATGTCATAAGAGAAAAGAAGAATGCATGTGTAAGTTAAAAGAACGTATTCAGAATTAAAGCACAGTGAAGGATCAATTTCTTGCATTACCTCTTATTAATAACACTTCTTTGCCTTAACTCTTATTAGTGATATTGCTTGTATTTTCTGTATTAATAGTTCATATCATGACCCGTGTTGCGTATTTATCATTTGCTATATCTTACAGCAAATGAAATGCTCACTGTTTAGCTACTCACTAACTCTTGCAGGTAGCTTTCACTTCACTTCATATTGTGTGCCTGTGAGAAACAAATCTGGTTAGAGGTTTTTTTTTTTTTTTTTCATTTGGAAAATCTTCTTAGGTTAAAGGCGTGGCTAATGTTGATAGACATTTTATGAGTAATGATTATATGCGCACAAATGGAGAAAGGTGTTTATCTTTTTTCTTCCCCCTTTGTTTGTGCTACACTAACAAGCTGCCTTTGTCCTGGTTAATTTGTTACAGGAATCCTAACATGAAATTTCGAAATTATGTTCCTCATGATGAGCATCTTCAAGAGGGAAAGGTTGCTCCTCCAGTAGTACCGAAGTTCGAAGACCCTGTTGCAGCAATGCCTCCACCATCAGAGAAGGAAGAGGTACTCAATTTCTGCCATTATAATACCTGACTTTCTTGTGAGTGTGCATGTGTGCACATGCATAAGCGTGTGTGATAACAGGTGCGTCTGTTATGCTACATCTCTATGTGCTCTGAATATGGTTAATTGTTCAGGATCCATTCGTAAATATAGCTCCTAAGAAACCAAACTGGGACCTCAGGAGGGATGTGCAGAAAAAGTTTGATAAGCTGGAAAGACGAACTCATAAGGCAATTTATAAACTCATGGGTACGTGCTTATCATTTTTTTAGTAATGTTTTCACCTATGATGCTCAACCTTTAATAGCTATGATGCAGACATTATTAAAACGCTATATTAATTTAAATGACTCAAAGGCGATTTTAAAATATAACTTTTAATACTTAATACTTGTGACATGAGCAACAGAAAAGATTGCACTTGGCTCTGGCCTGTACCTTTTGTACTTCTTGTTGAGCTAGTGATAAATTGATTGATCATATTTTCTTTCAGTTTTTCATTTTTCCTTTGGTTTCTTTGTTTTGTCAGTTTCTTTAGTTGTATATATCATTTGTTTGTACTTTTCCTTTTTACGTTTTTCATTTTGTTATTAGTGTTATCTTTTGTTTAGTTTATTTGTTTTATTTAGTTTTCTTAAGTTTCCGTTTAGCATTTCTGTGTCTTTTCTCTTTATTTAAATAAAATAGCATTCATTTGTTTTTATTTATTTACTTATTTCCTTTTAATTAGTTTGCTAGCTTTCATTTTTGTTGTTATTCTTCTTTTAATTTGCATTTATTTTTCCTTTCATAACTAGAATTCATTTTTAGGTTGTGACTTTTAGGTGACCAATTTATACATTAAATTAGGACTCTTAATTTCTCATAATTTGTGTAACCTTAGGTTTTAGAATAGTATTAACTTAGGGTACTAATATCTAACATTTAACATTTCATAAAACACATCATAAAACTTAATAAAATTTTTTAAGTAATTTTGTGGAAACGTTGAAAAGTACAAACTAAGGGAGTTCTGTCTAGCAGGCTGGTTTCTGTTAGCGTTCTACGCCACCAGTCTTTCCTGGGAACGTTGCTCTGTCTAGGAGGTTGGTTTTTAAGGAGATTTCGCCCCACCAATCTTTCCTGGGAGCACTCTTGGGGGTTACAATTCGCGGTTCTACATTATTGTTTTCTTTGTTCCAAAAGAAAAAAAATAACAAAAATTATAAAAAAATTAAAAAAAAAGTGACGCGTTTTAGGGTGAATAAATCATTATAGAGACGAATTAGGGAGATTCGCAAGAAGACCGGAGAACCCTAGTGAAGTTTCTTCCCACACGTCTAGTCCTCCCTCGACCCCAGCCTCATTAGCAGTTGCAAATCCGTTCGCGATGGCTCAAAATGAGGAGGTCCAACAGAAGACGTTGAACGATTATCTTCACCCTACACGTACGGCCACACCATCATGCATAATGTTTCCCCCTAATATGCCGAATTTGGATTTCAATCCGGGCATGATCCAACTCTTGCCGACCTTTCACGGGTTAGAGAGCGAGAATCCATACGTGCATATTAGGGAGTTTGAAGAAGTGGTGGCCACTTTTCACAACCGAGCTGAAGCCGCAGACTCTGTGCGATTGAAATTCTTTCCTTTCTCTTTGAAGGACAAGGCTAAAAGCTGGTTGTATTCTCTACGACCTAGGTCTATTGGAACTTGGGAAGAAATAACGACAGCATTTTTCAACAAGTATTTCCCTCACCATAAGACCAATGGTTTAAAGCGACAGATCTCGACCTTTACCCAGAAGGACAATGAAACTCTGTATCAAGTTTGGGAACGGTTCAAGGATCTGTTAAATCAATGTCCTCACCATAGTTACGAGAGTTGGCGTCTCGTCAGTTATTTCTATGAAGGCCTCACGCTCCGAGAGCGCCAATTTGTGGAGATGATGTGCAATGGTGAATTTCTCTAAAAGGACCCCGAGGAGGCTTTTGAGTATCTTAACGAGTTAGCCGAGAAAGCCCACACATGGACTGGTCCAAGTGTTACTGACAACACCAATCGATCCCGACCAGCTGGAATCTATCAACTAAGGGAAGAGGACAATCTCAAAGCCCAAATTGAGTCTTTGACACGACAAATTGAGACCCTCAAAACCAAAGAAGGTAGAGGAATTCACATGGTTGCTAGGGCAGAGTTACAAGAGCCCTGCTTTGTTTGTGGAGGGGTGGAGCATCTAGCTAAGGATTGCCCTGCTTACAATGAAATGAGAGGGGTTTACGACAAGCAATGCAATGCCTTAGGATCATACTACAAACCCTTCTCTAACAGATACAATCCTGGCTGGAGGAACCATCCAAACTTCAGTTGGAGAGATTCCAACCAAGCGCAACCATCGGGAGGACAATGGAGAACTGAGCAACAGCCGCAACCACCAAAGGCGTATTCTGCACCTCAATACAATTCGCAATAGCCAAGGAGTTCTCTTGAGAACACCTTGCAATCTTTCATGGAGGCGCAGAATAAGACGAATCAAAAGTTTGAGTCAATTTTCACGCAAATGGTGGAAGAAAGTAAGGAAATGAAGAGTCAAATCACGAAGCTGACTGGAGCTTTGGCTGCTCAATAACGCGGCAAGTTCCCTTCACAAGCTCAGTCAAACCCAAAGAACGGAGCTTAGCCATACCATAGGGGTCGCTCTGAGACCTCTTGTCGAGTGTAAATGCTCCTTGCGCCTATTGGGACAGTTGCGCAGTACTTATATTCTGACTTTCCCCATCCCGTGGCTTCAAACGGCCGATGGGAACTTAGATGAGTCTCGGAACTCATTTCCCTCAGTCTTTGACGTTGCTGTCCCCCTTCTCCAATTCCGTACTCACTTCCGTGGCACCTGCCTGAACAGACAGATCGTCAAATGGCGACGTATATAAAGAAGTGGCCGGTTCCTCACAAACTGAATTGCTTTCTCGAGTTGCTGTTGCCG